CTTACTATTAGGTGACAAGAGCACACACACATGCGCACACACACATTATTTCCTAATGTTGTAAAGCATGTGTATTTTACAACAACTATGTTATTGTTGCTGTTGATTGCTGTTGAGTCAAGCGTGACTCACAGCGACCCTATGAACGAAAGACCTGAAGCCACAATGACTATAAACAATGTGAAATTTCAGTAGTTGCAAGAAATGAAATCTTTTTAAAGGGACTTGAATAGAATTGTTTCATTATTCATTTGCTTATCAGGCTGCTTCTTTCAATAAATCCACAACCTTAAGTTTTATTCCAGACCTTGTCTGACTGATCATAAGTTAATAATTGCTAGGTCTGAACTGAGGCTGCTTTATGTGACGGGAGAAATAAGATAGAGTGCCCTCTGGTTTATGGATTATCAGTGTGGGATTGCAGACACTGTGTCAACCCACTCATTATTCATGACAAGGTGCCTTTCCCACATGGCTTAACTTTCCTTCATTATTTGTTTCAGTTTCTTTCTGCTACCTGATAAAAATCTCTTTTAGAATCACAGAATTTTATGACACCGTGGGATCTAGTTCAACTTCCTTTCTTTAAAGATGAAGAAACTGAGACTCTGGTTAAGTGACTTGCCAGACTGACCTCATTTCCTTTTTGATAGGATTCCATGATAGAGAGATGCCACAATAATCTTGATTTCAGGAAAGCACATTGTCAGAATCTCTAATGATTTTCTATGGACAACATTCCAGTATTCAGCCTGAGAGAAACTATGGTCTGATGGATTCATAATTCATTCAACCTTCTGGCCTGGTGTTACCAATGGCATCTGATAATTTGAACTAAGAAGCTGAAATGTAATAGAAGTAAATGTACATTCTGTGTGTAAGTTGAGGAAAACCAGTCAAATGCCTGGAAGACTTGCTAATCTATAAGCCTTAGTTGAATTATTAAAATGAAAATCCCTGGAATAATAAAGTTAACATTCTCTGCATTGTTTGCATTACATTTGCAGCATTTTAGGTAGTTTTATGCACATTTAAGAAGGACATTGACTAACTCTGTACATCCAGAGAAAGAGAGATTGTTAGAAGGATAATCACTAATGACAAAAACCATCTCATCTAAGGAATACTTAAGGCACTAGTTAAACTTTGGAGGAATAAACTAACTTCACATATTTGATGTCATCAAACTTGATGTTATCCTAGGCATCAGATATTTGAAAGCTTTTTATGTGGAAGATCAGTATTCCCATATTGCTTTTTTAAATAGTACAGTCTGTGAGAGTTGGAACTTAATAGGACTGCCTTGTTTATCAGCTTTCTCAAGGTTTCTGCCTTTGTTAACTTACCACTTTCTTTTTGTTCATTTTAGTGGAAAATAATTGCGTTTTCCTTTCCTAACAAGTTTCCTTCTTTCACAGGTTCTGCATTTTTCAGGTTTTACTGTAATAGTTTCCTTCAAATATCTATATTCATTTAAAATTAATAATATTTTGTCTGCCTGAAAAGGGAGTAGATAAATGTGAAGGGGCCCGAGTCTGACTTTCATCCACTACATACAGGGGAACTTTACCCATGAATAATACCCATAGTACAATACAAATAACTACATGGTCAGACATACCACATGCTTCTGCATCTATTTCTATGAATCATTAGGTCTAATGTTCGTTGCAGCTTGACTCACAGACTTAACTCACATTTGTGGAGTTAATTAAGGAAATAGATTGGAAAGTGGGGAGGCAAAGAATATCACACAGTGCAAGTCCAGGTTTAGTCCAGCAGTCCCAAGCCAGATTAACAAGGCACAATTCCTCAATTAGTGAAAGTCCAAACTCAAGTCAGCAGCACAGATGCACTTTTTGTTTCCTCAGTCATACAGCAAGCTTTATCTGAGAGCAGTTACAAGTCAGCTCTTCATTCAGTCTTCTAGCAAGTAAAACCTTTAACTGTGGCTCCATCTCCGGGATTCTTCTGCTTACACTTTGCCACAATTACTTCACAGCAATCCACAGTTTTCTTCAGCCTCTCACTATTGTCTCTCACAGTGTCTTTACAGTCTCTCCACCATCACTTCTCACAGTGTGGAAAATATTTTCCTATCTTGGTTCTGCAGCTGTTGATAACTTGCAGTACCATGTGTCCACAGTTAATATAGCTGAAGACTATATCCCCCACCCTCAAGGGCTAACACAGTGCCTAGAAAAACCAATTTTCAAGGGTTCTGACATCCCACTACCTCTTAAACAAGAATTTCAGGAAATATTACAAATAAAAATTTACAATTAGGTAAACAGTGTTTATGAGGCATGTTACATGGCAAGTGACTAAAGAGTTTGATCTATGATAAAAGTATCTCAGTGACTAGGTTTTAATGGAAATGTGCCATTTTCACATGTTATTTCAGTTATAGCTCTGCTTTGTGAATCCATGGGTACACTCATTGTAGCAACAGTCAAATCAAAGGCATTGCATTAGGGAAATCTGCTGTTAGGGCTTTCTTTAAAGTGATACAAAAACATGGATGTCAGTTTAAAGACTGAAGTGTGACTGATGTAAGCTATAGGATTTTAAATTGTTTCTTATGCTTCTGATAATAGGACAGCGAATAAGAAGAACTTAAGGAGGGAGAATTGATGCCTTTAAATTGTTGGGGTTTTGTTTGTTTGTTTGTTTGTTTTTTTAAGAAGAGTATTAAATATACCATAGATTGCCAAAAGAGAGTAAAAATTTATCTTTGAAGAAGGGCAACTAGGGTCCTCCTTAGAGGCAATGATGGTGAAACTTGATCTCACATACTTAGGACATCTTGTCAGGTGGGGTTAGTTCTTAGAAAAAGACATCATGCTTTTGAAAGGTAGAGGGTTCAGAGAAAGAGAAGACTTCCGTGAGATGGATTGACACAGCGATGGCAACAGTGGTGTTGAACATAGCAGGAATCTTGAAGATGATGCAGGATAGGACATGATTCAGATTTGTTTTTTAGGTTCTTATGAGTCCAAGATGGTTGGACTTAACAAGAAACAAACAGGCACTTGATTGGAGAAAAACCATTAACAGCCTGTAATATGCAAATGACACAGTCTTGCTTGCTAACTATGAAGCCTTGAAGCACTTAAAGCTCAAAGAATGTAACCCTCTGAATGGATGATAGCTCA